TTAACTTTTTATTACAGATCTAGAGAAAGAAAGAATAACAGTTAAAGAATTTGAAATGTGAAGTATTCAGAAAGGCTTTCATTTTAACAACTTTCCTTGTTCCAGCAAAAACAACGAGGAGTCCTTGTGGCAACTTTATTTATTTGGGCATAAGCTTTCGTGGGCTAAAACCCACTTCATCAGATGCATGGAGTGAAAAATACAGGAAGTAGTATAAATATTTCCCCTTTAGTTGTAGGGGGTCTTCAAAGGAAAAAAACTCTTGTTTCACAGTCTCCTAGGTGGTATTAAAGATGGTAACTACTGTCCTTTTGGGGAAAAGAGAAGTTAGTCGAGATGGGCTGGACATGTAAGAACAAAAACGATAGAAAACGGAGCGTCTGTCTCTGGTGTTGACTCTCACTTGCAACCTTGCTGCTGGAAAAATACTGGCACAGCACATGATCTCATCAGCCACTCCAAGACCGGGCAAACAAATAAATTTGTTAGTCTCTAAGGTGCCACAAGTACTCCTGTTCTTTTAACCTTAGAATGTAAACCCTAGTCCTTTAGTTCAAAAGGTCTGTGTTGTTCTGTTTCAGATATTTTCCCATTAGATTTGCCCCTCACTGCAAATTAGATTGCAATGGAGCTTTTTGCTTTCTATACTGAGCTCCTGAAGGCTTCTGTTGGGGCATCTTTTATTTTCAATAGAGGAAAACAGATAGACTTTTGCTCTCCCTAATACTATGTTCTGCAGTCTTAGAAAGTCATCAAACGTTACTTCTTTTGTCATGCTTAATATGTAACAGTGTTCCTTTTATATTGTTGCATAAATAGGGATTCAGTAGATATCTCTGGCATCTCATTAAATATGTCCTTTATTAGTCGCTACTTACACTCTTCAAGTCTTAAAACACAAGTACACTTTCACAATTACACAATAAAACAAGATTCACAATATCGCAACTGGGTTTTCAGTTCAGTTCATTCTTATATCTCAAGTGACTGCCTAGCGATGCCCCGCCCCTTATATACCTATGAGGCTATGACTGACAACATTCTAGGAGGGTTGAGGAAAATATAGTTCTCAGAAAGTCTGGAATGTTCCAGGAGATTCTACAAAGGTCCAGAACATTCTAGGAGGCTATGAAAAATTAATCCACATATGGAATACCTGAAACATGTTACTTCTAACATTTTATTTTCCTTTTTGTCACTAACAACAAAAATAGCACCCCAGGTGGTCGCCTGGGTTGCCTGCCCCTAAATCTGGCTCTGCTGCTATCTGATGGTTAGGTGATGTTGAGTGTGAAATGAGTTTGGTGGGTGGCCACCCAGCTTCCAATGTAAGTGTCCACACCATCAAAATTAGCAACTTTCTGGCCAGTCTCAGGAGAGAAGCCAATGTCTGATTCACCCATGCATAGCCTCTGACTCCTAGAAGTAGTCCTCGCAGGTCAGGTTTAAGGTCCAGTGACAGGGTAGTGTGAAGAAGCTTGCATTGCTGCTTCCTCTGCCCAGGATTGTTCTGGGGATAAACCAAAGACATCAACCGCCAAGCCTGTAAATCTGGCTCCTTTCACCAGCACTAAACCCACCTGAAAATTTTCAAATGCAAAATGCTTCTCACATGATGCCAAAGAAAGACACCACTACCATTCCAGCTGGGGCACGTTTGCAGGGCTGGAAGCTTGGTAGGACAGAGGCTAAACCTTGGGACCACCTTGGGGATAGTGGGTTGGTCCCCCTTTACAAGGGCACCTCAGTGAGATAATGGGAACTGGGATTGGCTGCCTGTGGACTTGAGCAGCCTATAAGAGGCCACACAGGCAAGAAGCTAGTCTTCTTACTTCCTCTGCATCACTGCTAAGTGCCTTTATGACTTCTCTTCAAGAAGGCCTTAAACGTAGGCTAAGTAGGCAGACGCTTAGTGTGCTACTTGTAAGGGGACACTGTCTGGGAATAACACGGTTATTCTGCAATGGGACAGTTCTAAACTGATAAAATATTATATAAAAGCTTGGTATTTTTATTATAATAAACTGTTCTCTCCTGGTGACAAACCCCGTCTCATCCTTCCTAAAGGGTCTCCCTGTTTCTGCTCAGTCATACACTCCAGAATCCTTTGCTGTGATTGCCACAGCAGCTCCTTTAAAGCAGTGGTTCCCAATTTGTTTTTAATAAGGTGACCTACCAACTGCATTTTGTCTTTTTTTGAGATCTCCCCATTACATATATTCACCCTCTGCCCTGGCCTCCACCCTAATCCCAGCCCAGTGCAGAGGGGTTTGAAGAACAAGCCCATCCTGTACTCACTCCACAGCAGTGGCTCCTGTCCCATGGGGCTGGGTCCAGCTCCCCGTCCCATGGGCCTGGGTCTAGCTCCCCGCCCCAGGCATTGCAACCTGGTACCCAGGGTTGCTTCATCACTCAGGTTTGGCCCAGCCACCCCTCTATCAGGGTCCAGTGATAGGTTAGTCCAGCGCCAGACGTGATGACCCATCTAGAACCTTCCTGCAACCCATTGGTGGGTTGGGACCCATAGTTAGGGAAACACTGTTTTAAAGCACTGTGGCATCAAGCAACACTGGGACCACAAAACAGAAACTGGGATTGAGTTTGGGAAGGATGAAATTCTATAGGTGGGTGCAAGTTCCATCCTTTACAAAAACAGGAAGATAGGAGAGTTGCTGACCTGGGTTGACAGGTGCAAGAGAGGCAGCAGAGAATGATGGCTACAGGGTAAAGGAGGCACTAAATCCTATCTTCACCTAGGGAATTATTGCACATACACCTGACTCTGCCAGACATTTCTGAATCCATACATTTTAAATTTAGTACAGCTTGTACTTGGAAAGCCTCCATCAAAGCTCCCCCCAGAACTGCAATGTTAGCATCTTCCTTCCTCCTCTCTCTTGGCTGCTGTTTGAAATTGTTCTCAGGACCCAGTTCTGCTCCTGTTGAAATAAAAGGCAGAACTTCCACTGATTCCCATAGGAGCAGGATCAGACCTTTAATTTGCAGTTCTCCATGACAGAAAGTAGTCCAGGGGAACAGAGTTAATATCTCCAATACTGCACAGTAATGTAATTTCTATTGTGCATAGTGTCTCCGAAACTGATATCTTGGGAGACTGTGGTAGGCACTGTTTGAAATAATAATAGAATAGTTTGTACACAAATACTAAACACCAGCCCTGCTATTTAGCACTTGAGTATATCAGACACATACTGTAGCACTTAATTGTTAGTAATGAAAGCACCTCAGTTAGTGTATCAACAACGTGGCACAAAGATCATTTAAAAATCTTTCATAATACATTGGAATTCTTTGTCAGACGTCTGATGTGTTTCTTACTGGGGATTAGTCCTCCTATCACAGCTACCCTAGAGAAAGAGGTAACCAAGTTTTAAAAAATCCATTAAACAATAAAGTCAAAGGGGAACTGTTGGTTCTTAACTATTCTCTTATGCTTCAAAATATACAAATACAAAGACAGAAAAATATGGGGAAAACTAAATAAAAGGAAATTATAAAACTCAGTGAAATAAGAATGAATCTGTCAGTTGTACAAGACATTTTTTTAAAACTCAGAGCAGAATCATGAAACTTGCTCAGAAAATACCAGTTTGGAGATTGATAGTAAAAAATACCTTTTCATTCAAGAAAATCAATGAGTTCTTAACCTTCTTTAGTGAATTTCTGGAGCTGGTAGAAAGTGCTGGATTGACAAACTTGATTCATTCATAGACCAGAGGCAGGGTGGCAGTGCAGGCCAGGAGCGCCGCCAGCTTTTCTGCTGCCCTAGGCGGCGGAAGGTCCCGCCCCGAAATGCTGCCCCCCACAGAGGCGGCGGAAAGTCCCGCCGCCGAAATATCGCCGCGGTCGCCGTCCCCCAAATTGTAGCGCCATCGCCTAATGGGGTGCGCCGGCCCTGGTGCAGGCTTCCCCAAACTGACTGTCCAGAGTGCCTGACGACTGACCTTCAAGGACCTCTAGCAGAAAGAGTGGAGGCCAGTCATCAGGACCCATTTAGTTCTTGGCTTCTCTGAGGAGTCTAATAAGGGTGTAAGCTGTGGTGGCGGTATTGTGATGTGGACATTTATCCACTAGAAACTGGGCAGAAACCACCAGCTTGCTTCACACAGACCATCATGAGGCCGTTGGATGTCTTATGGTCACAACTGATCATGGCTAGGTCATCATTTCCTGCCAGGTATATATGTGTGTCCATATAATTTTTTACCAGGCTGCCTTTTCTGGCACCTCTACAATCACAGCTGTCTAGTCCTGTTTAAAAGGAGTGCCTTGCCTATCTCTCCACTTATAAGCAAAAAACTTGGGAGTCTCCTCGGGATATTGCTTGCCTTTTGATATCTGGCTTAGAAGAAGAAAATCGGTCCCCTTATGACAGTGAGGTGCCCTGATGGCTTGGACGCAGGTGGTATTTTAGGGGCCTGCTGCTGTAAATTGGCATAACTCATTTAACTTCAGTGGCGCTACCTTGAATGACACCAGCTGAGGACCTGGCTCTATAGCTACAAATCCTTAAAGAGGTATGCCAAGGGCTTTCAAAGATGAAGTCTCCTTCACCAACTTCTTCATGACTCCTTGCCCCTGCAGAAACTTCCATCTTTCCAGAACACTGAGGCCTTTATTCTGATCCATCTCACCCCCACCTATGGTTAAAACCCATTTACATTTTTAAGGTTCCCATGATGTAATTTACCTACGTGACAATGATCATGTACCACGTGACTGATCTTGGTAAAGTACTTTGAGTAAAGTACTATCTTCCCTGGATAGAAGACACTATGGATGTATCACTGTTATTTAGTAGTTTATTTATTAGTTATAGTGTTTATTATGATCATTTTAGCAGTTCTCAATGCAGTGATTCCCCCTCCCCTCACTACCTTTAAATTGCAATTTTTCCTGTATAACCCTTTGACATTTGGCTTGTGGATACTCATGCATTGTATATGGCTAATACATTTGCTCCTGTTTTTGTTTTGCAGTACAGAATTGGACAGCTGTACATGATCAGTAAGCATAGCCATGAGCAGAGTGACCGAGGGGAGGGCGTGGAAGTCGTGCAGAATGAACCCTATGAAGATCCAAATCATGGCAATGGTCAGCTAACAGAAAAACGGGTCTATCTCAACAGGCAAGTACCATGCAGCTGTTTCCCTGAACAGTATGCTGCTGTAACCTCCAGTCATGCACAGTGTTGAAGATTTGCAGGGCATAACACCTCTCTCAGGAAATAGCCTTTGTGTTTCAAATGTAATGTGTTCTATTGACTACAGTTACTGGAAACTTCAAGGAAAGGGACACAGTGGAAGAGCACATTTGGAAGAGCACATTTTCCATGACAAAGAATTATGGCCTGAAGGCAGGGTTGTGTTGAAAATCAGCACATTTCTCTATTTTCTTTCACGCTTCCCCATTTTTCAAAATAGGTAAAACAAAAAGGGACTCTATTAAAAGAAACGTAGTGTGCCAGATGGACTGGGAGTCACTACATCTGGGTTCTGTTCCTCACTCTATCCCATGCTTGCTGTGTGAACTTGTGAAAGTCCAGAAGAGTCTGATTTCCCAAGGCGCGGAGCACCAATAACTCCCATTGACTTTAATTAAGGTTGTGGATGCCCTTAATCGCTGTGTGCTTCCATTTCATCCCCAACAGTAAAACTGAAATGATGGTTCTTCTTTCCTGCACAGAGGTGTTTGAAGATTAATTCATTAATGTTTGTAATGTGCTGTGAGAGTCTCTGACGGCAAGTGCTATAGAAGTGCAAAAAAATGTAGCACATTTAAAGTTCTTCTTTAAAACAAAGTTATTTTCTTTTCAAAATCTAGATCAAAGATAGATTTTTTTCCTAACACCCCAAATCAGCATCTTCAGCTAAAATCAAATAGGTGCATTAAAATTAATCCTGCCTGAAATGGCACAGAGGTTAATCATGTCTCCTCTGTTTAACATCAGTAGCATGCAGAAAGTCACTCTGGCCCCACACTTAGCAGAGAATTGCTTAGGGTAGCAGTGAGCCCTTGGGGTGCTGATGCAGCAAGATTGAGCACTACTTCATAAGAACTGCACAAGGCCAGTGACCCATTTTGGTAACAAAAGATTTGTCTCAGCAAAGTGAGTTGACATTATGAATGACCACTAGAATTGTACATCAGTGACCTTCTGCAGCAAAGTGACAGGCTTAAAGACATGATGAGAAAAATTGCTTTTGTTTCCCGACAGCCCCATCATTTCCTAAAGCAGAATATGTCTTTTCTGCAACTGAAATTAAAGTGTTAGGGGTCAGTGCTTCCACACTGACTTAAAGGCCAGTGTTAATTTTAAAACCTATATATTTCTGTTGTATGAAATATATTCCTTAATCTGCTGCAGTTTTTTATTACTACTGATCTAATTGAATGTTGCTGCTTTTCTAATTCTTCTGTGTTCCCTTAGGCCCATTTTCTTTATTGAGCTTCTCTGCACTGTGATCCTTAGAAGCAGATATAGCAATATTGTGGCAATTACACCATTGCAATGTGTTCTGGAATCCTGACAGATCTGACCTTTCCCCAGCCTAACAACAGAATGACCAGCAATACTCCACGCCTACAAATAATTGTTCTTGTGCAAAAAGTCTGCTGAGGGCCTTATTCACCACTTAGAAGCTTAATATCTGTCACGGAATAGGAGATCAGTGCTGGTACAAATGTGCTTGGCATGCACACGTGTTCAAAATGCTGTGCACAAACATAACACATTTTCAAAAACTGTCCTGAGGATTCATATCAAATAAATTCACATGCCTTTGTGGTTAGTTTTATCTCCATTCCATTCAGAGAAAGAATGTGAGATGTTTACTTCCATCTGGGAAGGGGAAATGGCGAGGACAGATCACTGCACCTTCATGCAGACTTTAGAGATTTCAGGGTAGCTGTCCATTCTGTCTCCTTCACTTTCCCCCCGTGAGATCCATATTTTTGTGGGGAGGTGAAAGATCATTCTCTTTGAGATATCTTTTTCTGTCAAAAAAGTACCGTATCTGATCCATTGCAACGAAATGATTCCAATATCTTTCTTGACTATGGGAAAGTGCCCTTGAGAGAGTGTCAGTGTCTTACTAGAATGCTGCCTGATGGCCAGTGCAGATCTGTTGCTGTGACTGCTCTACTTCTGCTGTCCATAAGTACTTTAGTTTGCAGTTTCCATTATAATGGGGGGGGAAAAGCCTTGCCATAAATACCAGTATATGAATTACATTCATAAAAGACGGTGCTCTGTGGGCAAGTCATCAGTACTGTGAGTCACAGGTATAGGACTGAAGCAAATTCATATATTGCTCAGAAATATCATCTCTTAGATTTTATGAGTCAAATCCTGGCTCCCTGGGCTGGAACAAAGGCAAACCTCCCATTGACTTTAATGGGGTCAGGATTTTACCCTATATCTTCAAGCGTAAACAATTCCAAAGTCACATTGACTTGGCCTGGCTTTTTATCAAGTACCTGACATTAATTTAGATTAGAAGCTTTGGCTGAAAAACAATTTACGTACATTAGCAATAAAAGGATCTTTTTTCTTTTGCCCGGTAGTTGTCTGTTCAGTAATTCAGCATTCAGTAATTTGTGACATTGTCAGAACACTGAATATAAAGTTTACGTAGGCCAAAAAACTTCAAAAATATATGGATCAGTGTCCAAGATGGCTGCCACATAGGAAAATGTTAGCAGATTCAACCAGTCTTAAACCCTTTCCTAACTGCTGAACCCACTCACTGCTCCCTCTCCTTCTACTGACAAGCCCAGTCCCTCCCTTCCAGCTCTTAATATATCTCCTGGACCTCACTTTTAGGGTGAAATCATGGCCCCATTGAAGACAACAGAAAAATGCCCATTAAATTTAAGGGGGCAAGTATTTCACCCTCTCTTGGCATTCTAAATGTTTGAGCTGCTCCTACCTAACCACCCAGCACGTCTGGTTTAGGTTACCATTCTAGATGCAGTGTTGTCATCAAATCAATGGGCTTGCAAAAGGTGTAAATCTGCTAAATTTGACCCATTGTTTTCCAGCTGGAGCTTTCCTGTATTCTTTGACAACTAAATCAACACAGACTCAGCACTTCGCAACATTTCTGGGGTTTCAATGTACCTTGCAAGTTTTGCTTTTAAGTTTTTGGGTTCTGAACTCAGTAAAAACTGATGACTTTCACGTGTTTTCATAGTACTTCTGAGCACAAGTTACCAAGCACAACTGTGATTTTTGGGTGGTTTCAGCTTAAAATAGATCTGGGTGTTCTAAACTAGATGGAGGTTTTCTCTAAATATTCGAGAACTATAGTGAATTTTGCAATGGAGCTAGTCTAAAACTCAAATTTGTTGCAACGCTGGAAAGTAGTCTAGTTTCACCTGGTTTCTCTGAGAATGTTTCACACATCCGTCATTCCTGGATAACTCATTTGATTGCTGTGTTGTAAGTTATCAGCAACAGGAGAGGCAATAATACATTTTAGGGCAACAGAAGCCTTCACTGAGTTCTGCTAATGTTGCGTTCTGATGGATTAGTACATGTCTGTCAATCTGCAAACTCCATTCTGGTTTGTGAACTCCATTTTGATTGTTAATGTGTGCTGCTGAGTCTTCACTTTGGCAATTCAGCCTCCATTTGGAGCTGAAACATCCAGGTGGTATCAGGGAAAATCCTGGTATCTAGCAGAGGGCTAACAATTTGGAGAGCAAACAAGGGTCATCTACATGGATGATCTTCCATTCAGATGGAAGCACCCTAAAACAACGACCGTGTTGCAGTCCACAGGAACCAGTCTTACCCAGTCTGGACTTCAAGCAACCAATCACCAGACAAGGGACTTGAAGCAACGGTGGGTCACCTGACAGAGGGGACTAGAATTTTATAAAAGAACAAATTCTGCTCTGAGCTGGCTCTCACCAGCCATCCATTGGCTGACAACAGGAGGGGGCAGGAGGGGATGCAGAAGAATCCCCGCCTCCCTGGAAGACACTGACCAAGAGCCAAAGGGCCCTTAGAAGGAGTCAAGAACTGCGGTGGGGTGTTTGTTGGTTGGTTTTCCATAGATCTGTATATCTCTTATGCTTAGTCTGTGATTAACTTGTATGTGATGTAAAGTGCCTTGGCAAAGTCTGTGTCACCAACTCCCTGAAAGGTGGAGCAGTAATCTAGAGTCCTCACAAGGGTGTAGCTCTGGAGGGGATATGCAAGAGCTACTTCAGAGACTGGGAAAGTCCACAGTGGTCTTGGGGTGCAGGTCAGTGGGGCTATGGGGCCCCATGACTCAGGAGTGGGTACCAGCGTTGCAGTCTGTATCCCAGTATTGTACCTGAAAAGCCAGACATAGGGGAGTGGCTGAACACTGGTCAGACTCAATAAGCTTTAAAACTCATGAGAGCCAAAGGTTTGGGTCCAGAATAGCAGCCTGGCGTCCACAAAGGGGAGCTCAGCTAGGGCCGTAACATAAGTGTTTTAAGTCAAACGTATTGAATTTAAATAGAACTACAACTATAAACAGCACTGTAACATGGCGGCTTGCCCCTGATGGGCTGGAGGGCTTGGAGCTAGCAAACCCTGATTTCTAAAGAGGCACGCCTGGGTTGGATCAGGTAATTCCCTATAAAGGGCAGCAGGGAAGAGGGAAATGCAGAAAACTGCAGGAAGTAAGGCCTTCTCCAGGGAAGACCCCGATATCGAGGGGTTTGGAAGCCAGAACTGGAAGCCTGAGGCTCTAGCCAGGTAGGCCCTGGGTACGGGCCTGCCAAAGCAGGAAAGGCCCCAATCAGGAAGATCTGGGAGCAGGGTGAATTGGAGACTGCTGACAGGGAGCAGGTTCCAGCAGAAAGATCTGGGGCATGGGGTTTCCCTACTGAGACTACAGGCAGGAAAAGCCTGGCAGTGACCTGACAAGAGGTTAAAACCAATGGCCTGTGTTTTGGGACCTTGAGTTTTATTTATGTGAATAAACTCAGAGCCCTGAGAAAGGGTGATGAATGGACAAGAAAAGCCAGGGTGGGGTTTGTTTAAGCAGGCCTGTGAGGGAGAAATTGTTAGCAGGGCACTGCAGAGGTACCTCTGGCCTTGCAGAGGTACCTCTGGCCTTGAAGAGGTCAAAATATAGTGCTTAGACTAATTGAATTGACGATACAAAAGAATGCTATAGAAACATATAGTGTTCCTTTATCTCTGTTACCTAAAATGAGTCCAACTTATTTGAGCAGAATTTTTATGGAAAGTAAAGGGAGACCTTCTGCTAAATTAGTTCCCTGATAAGTACGTAAAAGGTTGTTACAAGGAGGAGGGGAAAAAATTGTTCTCCTTAACCTCTGAGGACAGGACAAGAAGCAATGAGCTCAAATTGCAGCACCGGAGGTTTAGGTTGGACATTAGGAAAAACTTCCTAACTGTCAGGGTGGTTAAGTACTGGAATAAATTGCCTAAGGAGGTTGTGGAATCTCCATCATTGGATATTTTTAAGAGCAGGTTAGACAAACACCTGTCAGGAATGGTCTAGATAATACTTAGTCCTGCCATGAGTGCAGGGGACTGGACTAGATGACCTCTCAAGGTCCCTTCCAGTCCTATGATTCTATGATTCTGTAACTGCCAAGTATCAAATTTAGCATTGGATGTAGCAGCTAATTTTTCAAAGAACAAATTAACTGGTTGTAGAAGTTTCAGGAAAAAAGAGCCCCGGTTTTCTGCTGAAGAACTAAAATTAAAATCTAAGCAGGATAATTTATAGTTGCACTCTAGGCAGCCAAATCCAAAGCACCCAATTTAACTTTCCATTGAAATCAATGGACATTTTGCCATTGACTTCAGTGGGAGTTGAGTCAGCAATAAAATGAGGCATTCATAATAGCAGTGATAGTGTGTCACACTTAGTTTTCCATTGTATAAAGCAAACTGTGGAGAAGGCCAAGCCTTTGGCAGAGGAAGTAGCTTTTACCATACTGACGTATTCCAGATATCAGAACAAATGGAAAGTACACTTACATTTAGAATCCCATAACCCAGTTCCCTGAGTGAACAACAAGGCCCATGTTTTCTTCCAAGTGGATTTCAGAGAGATGTCACTCGACTCGCACCACCACTTCTAAAATGAAATGGAGATGAAGTGGCACTTGGTTGAGGATTTGTTTATAAGATACTTCCGTCAGGGTCAAAATGAGACAGAAAACCAGTTAAAGGTCCTGTTCTTGTAGTCATTTCTCCTGCTGGGGGCAATGGGTGCTTTGCTTGAACAAGGAATGTAGGTTTCAAGCCATGACTGGACACTTTTAAACAACTTATTCTGATACATAAATACCCTGACTCTGCATCAGACTAGGGGTTCACTCAAGACTGTAGCTGTGGAGCTCCTTTAAAAACAAAAATACAGACCTTCCTTTACTTTCATTCTCTGGAGAGCCCAGACTCACCTCAGTCTGGTGGCCTAGTGACAAAGTCTGAACAAATACAGTGCAGATTTTGTGAGAAAGTTATAAAACCCAACCAAAGGGCCTCTCCCTGGAGTTTCTTCCTCCCTGATATTCCTGCTGGGGTTCTAGACGCTTTCCAGAGATCTGGCAATCAAGTTCAAACAAACAGATTTCTTCCTGTTTCTGGGAGAGACCGATAGCATCCAGTGTTCCCTCTAATTTTTCCCACCCATGTGCGGAATGAATTTTGTTATGTAATTTGTTCTCCAAGAACCACTGCTTAGGGCTTTGTACAAGAAAAGCATGGGTAAGCAAAAACAAGCCTTCGGACAATGTCATTGTGAAGGCGAAAAAGTCAATGCACTTAACTTCTGGTTTACGTGAAAACTTGTGGTTTTAGGTGTGGTAACTTCTGCATTTTGGCTTCCACACAAATGCAAAGATTTATATCGAGCAAAATCTTGATCAAACAATCTTTAATTATCCAAAACCCTCTGTTATCCCTGACATGCAGCGGTGGTATTGAAAATTCCCTCAATTATCCAACTCACAAACAGTTGAACTTAATTGATTTCCCCCTTACGTTTGGATAATTGAGTTCAGAAGCTACTTGCTGTGGTTCAGTTCAGATTCCATCTAAGACCACATGATCTTTGTCATGCCCCTGGTCTGATCAAAACTATTTTAAATGGAGCCCTGAAGAGTATTTCTATTTATCACCTCCAAACTTCTGCCTCTCTCCTGGTGGCCAGTGCCCCATCATTGTCACCACCAGTTCTGGTGGCTAAAGCTGATGTCACAAGGGAATACTTGAGCAGCAAATGTATATAAACTCTCCTTCCCTTTAAAACCAAGGTTTGTCAACTCCATAATAACTCGTGGTTCCCTGAGCTCCACAAATTGGAGATGCTAGTACAAAAATTGACTCTAGCCTGCCAGGGATAGTGCCTAATCATGGTGGTTATCTTACCATGTGAGTATTCAAAAGCAATTACTTAGTTGTAAGCTTTTTGGGGCAGGGACTGTCTTTTTGTTCTGTGTTTGTACAGCACCTAGTGAGCTCTTAAGCATTGCAATAATACAGATAATAGCGACTGAATGCTGCACTGGCTTTTGCCTGGTACAACCCCATAGAAGTCATCACTCCAACTGGGTTGTCACTGTGTCAGGTATTTTTTCATGGTTGCAGGGTTTTTTTCTTAACCACAAAAAAATCATCCCCCCCCCTTATCTAAGGGTTTTCTTAGTCTACTAGGATTGTAGCCAGTGTATTGGTAAATTGCCTGGCAGACTGGACCCTGGGCTAGAACTCAAAGGTCCTCCATTCTAACTCTGGCTCTTTATCATTCTGGATCAGTTTCCCCATTTGCAAAAGGGACATAATACACCTCTACCTCGATATAACGCTGTCCTCGGGAGCCAAAAAAATCTTACCACGTTATAGGTGAAACCGCGTTATATTGAACTTGCTTTGATCCACCGGAGTGCGCAGCCCCGTCCCCCCGGAGCACTGCTTTACTGCATTATATCCGAATTCGTGTTATATCGGGTCGCATTATATCGAGGTAGCGGTGTAATACATACCCCCAACTTCACAAAGGTGTTAGTGAGGGATAGTTAATTTGAATATAAAACTCTTCATAATTGCTACATAGTATTATTAGCACACAGAAAATCCTGTCTCATAGGATTTGGGGTTAATGGAATACAAGAGTTTATGCATCAGTAGAGAATATGGAGGAAGAAACTCCTTAGGAAGAAGTAACAAAATCAGAATGACTGGGACAGTTTACTATACTTGCTCACTACTCTTGATAAAGGCTGTCTCCTTATGCTAAGAATACTATAGTGTAAAGTACACACTGCATCTCATTACCTGTGCTGATTCCTCACATGACCAAGGCTGTGAATTCACAAACCCATACTTTGAATCTTCTCCTTAGCTAGAGAAGTGTAAAAGGAAGTTATTCTCTCCAAAAGAATGAATACATTTGTGGCAGTGCAATGGCCAATGGTCAGGAGTTGGCTAAAGTGAGATTTCAATGCAGATTTAAAGGGACACATAACTTACAGATATTACTGTGTGAGGACTTAGGGCTTGGCTACACTACCGTGTGGGGTCGATCTAAGATACCCAACTTCAGCTACGTGAATAGCGTAGCTGAAGTCGACGTACTTAGAGCTACTTACCGTGGTGTCTTCACTGCGGTAAGTCGACAGCTGACACTCTCCTATTGACTCGGCTTGTGCTCCTTGTTCTGGTGGAGTACCAGAGTCGACAGGAGAGCGTTCAGCGGTCTATTTATCGCGTCTATCAACCCCCGCTGGATCAATTGCTGCCTGCCAATCTGGCGGGTAGCATAAACGAGCCCTTAGTGTTAGTAGGTCCTGCTTAGTACTTGTCAAATTGTGAGCATGATTAGAAAGTGTCTTACAGTTCTCACAAGTCAATAAATATTCTAATTTAGGATTTCCTTTCTTTGCAGCAAACTACCTAGCTGGGCCAGAGCAGTTGTTCCCAAAATATTTTACATTACAGAGAAGGCTTGGAATTATTACCCATATACAATCACAGGTAAGTACTCAACGCAAACTGAAAACATTGGAAGTTTATTGTGGATAGTCTTGCCTGTCCTTAAAGGCTGCATGCCACATACCTAGAGGCAGACATTAAAATATTTGAACAATTCCTGTTTAACCACCGTGTATTTTTATTTCTCATCAGTTAATATTACCAAGAAATATAGGTAATATGCAGAAACTATAGATGGGTAAAAACAAACATTATCCTATGCTACCTTCTCCCCTTTTAAATTTCTGCATTAGATCTTTAGATACTGAATATTAAATATCATGCTGACTTGTATTCCATGCTGTCCCATAGACTCCAGTGGGATTGCACAGTGAAGTCTAAGTCAGTACTTTATTCAATCCAATTATTTTGATTATTAATATACCTTTGCATTTAGTGAAAATAATTTGCATCGTTATTTTATTCTACTTTTTTTTTCTCTCTTGCCTTCTCTTACCAATGGACAAACTGGGACCAGAATACACAGTAAGTTTTCCATACTCTTTATTTCTTTAATTCTGAAAATAAGATCACTTTGTAAAATCCAGAGGTAAAATCCAAAGCTGGCTCCTTTCCTGCCACACCAATGCTGAGCAGGTTTGATCCTGGAACTTTATTTTATGTAATTGTTCAAGAACATTGAAGCGAATTTAAAGTGTTTTATGGAGCTCTTATAAATTATTTAACTTATTTTGATAACTTGGTAATGACTGTAGCTGTCACAGAAAAGAAGTTTCTATAAAAAGGCAGAGTTTTGAAAGTCCTGGTTCTTACTTGGAGACAAGAGACAGATTTTATTTTATTTTTTAACACTTATAAAGTGCTTGTCTCTGGGTATAGGATCTGGGAAACTGTACCATCTGTAGTCAAAATTAAACAAAAACTGGGCCCAATGCCCAGAAAAACCAACCATTCCCTCAAACAGAGCTGGGCAAAAGAATAGAGACCAAAATGGTTACAGAGGTACTAGCCTGCATAGAAAAACCTTTAGTTGAGTCTTGGAGAGAGAAATATGGGCAGATGTCCTCAAGGAGGAAATTCCAGACATAGGGTCCTGTAACTGAGAAGATCCTGCCCTGAGTTAGATTGACCCTCAGAGCAAAGATCAAGGATAACCCATCTGTCACAGTTACTTTAAGAGGGAATGGGGTCCAGTGCACTTGGACTTACTAACTGGTGCCCAACAGGGCTTAAGGGAAAGCACCTGGGCCTTATAAAGGGGGAAACAGCTGCAGGTTGTAAGACGATGCCTGCAGACAGTGCAGGGAGTAGGATGGTTCCTGCAGGGCCCTGAGTCAGTGAGGAGGCCTGTGGAGAAGGCCAAACTCCAAGCAAGAGGGTGGGAAGACAGATCCTCAGGGAGCAGGGGTTGTGCCCAGCTTGGGACTGGGGCAAAAGAAAGGAACTTTAAAAGAGAGGATGGACCCTCAGGGAAGAGTGGCAGGGTCCAGCTGAAACTGGGGTGAAGAGTGTAGGTCTGAGTCTATTTTGAAAGATTGTGTACAGGTCTTAATAAATTGGACCCCAGAAGGGGGAATATTTTGAATATCTGGCCTGTGTGGACTCTTTAAGGAAGTCTGAGTTAAGGGGAAACTGAGGCAGGCCTCAGCAGAGCTGCCATACTAGCCATCAGCAGGCACTACGGGGCAAGCATGCCCTTTTACACCATTCCTTCTATATTGACAGTCCAGCATTTAAAATACTTACGCAGCATTTTTCAAATGAGCAAGAGATTAATGTGATGAAAGTGGAAAAGAAGAAATCCAGGGACAGCTGGGAGGAGGTGCAGAGCTGAGAACATGCAGGAGGTAGGTAGGGTAAACAGAGGAAAGTGTTAGTTAAAACTTAAGTGCAAAACTCTACTCACCAGGTTGCCTGGCAGATTTTTTATGTATGTTCTGCATTTGTATCATGCACAATATTCCTATGGGCATAAGTCGTAGTCCACACTTGGAATGAGGGCAGAATCAACAATAGTGATCTGAAGGCAGATAGTTCATTGCTGTATATTGTCACAGGTCCAGTAACTTCAATGGGCCTATGACAATTTACACCAGCTGAGGATCATCTCCTTGCACTGCGGATTTGGGAGCAGAACTTTTCCCTAAATTGTGTAAGGAAGTTGACATACATCATGAAATGTGGCATTGGCATTCATTACCTATGCTCTATTTTACAGTCTGAAAACTTTTCATTAACTGTTCACCTGTTAAAAGTAGATAATTTTAATAGTGGAGAAAACTACCAAGAGAACAGCTAATGGGTATGTGCTAAATTAAATGTGAGCTTTTGGATCAGTCTTTGTTATAGAGAAAAAGAATTCCTTTTCCATGCAAAAATCTAAACCATGTTCCTAATAGCAATTGACTAAGGAAGATGTTATGGAGCCAACTGGAGAAAACAACTGCAATAAATCACCAAGACCTGTGTACACACAAGTGACTACCTCTGGGGAATGATAACCCAAAGCAAAGATACTAGTGAGTGGGAAACAGTTGGGAATGTTGAAAGCGCCTAGGGAGTGATAACAGACCGCAAATTATATATTAATTTGAAATGCAATGCTATAAGGCACCCAAAAAAAGTAACACAGAATATAAAAGCTAGGTGTTATTATTAGTCAGACAGCAAATCTGAATCAGAGACGTTATGGTCCGTTATGGTCCGTCCCTCTTTGCACAACTCTGGTAAGAACCACAGGTAGGACGTGGATTTCAGTTCTGTAAACTTCCATACAAGAGATACTCACCAGTTGGAGACTTCAAAGAAGAGCAATAAAAAGTGATCAAGGGGCTGGAGAGATTAACTTATGAAGAAAGATTAAAAGGGATTGTAAATGTAAAATTTGGTTAAATAATAACTAAGAGTGGATACAACTGTCTGTGGGGAGGAGGGAGTAATTGTTGTGGGTGATGCCAGGAGACACAGCTTGGAATATTGGGACAAAATTAAGCAAAGAACATTTCAGGCACATATCAACAAAACTTCTTAATGGAACTACTACAAAATGTCTTCCAAGAAAAGTGAAGAAAGCCCCTTGTAGAAGCTTAGGTGCATTAAAACAGGAATGGAAAACACAGAAAGTATTATGAGGTTATGTTGAACAATAGTTACCCATCGCCTACATTATTGTGTCCAATTTAAGTGGTCCATTTAAAGGTATTTGCCCAAATTTTCATAATTAGGTGTCAAGAGTTAGGTACTAAAGACATTTTTAGACACCTAGATGAAAAGTGACTGAGCACCCACAACACTCAAGTTTGAGAATTTTGTAAGGCAAAAATATTAAATACTAAAAACTGTCCCAAGCTACAGGGGTAATTGTGTAAGCTTAATAGGTCTTTGTCTGCCAGAGTAAAAAATGCAGAGATCCAGAGGAGATTTTTCTTTTCTGCATTTGTCCAGCTGGATCAAAAAGAATTAATAGAAAAGCAACCTCTCTCTCTCTCTCTCTCTCTCTCTGAGAAACCAAGTGAAAATGGCTTCTAGAACAGGGCTGCTGTGCCTGTTAGCCAATAAGGAGCACAGAACAAATACTCATGTGACCTGTTCAAAGTGAAAGCTGAAATTGTGGAGAACAAGACAGAAGCTTCAAAATAAACAAATAATCAACCTGGTCACCAATACTGTATGACTCAGTCCTGGTCCAAACAAATCTGTCTCGTGTTCAAAATACACTGAAAATCAGTCTCAAAACGTTTGCAGATACCCACATAGAGGGAAGGGGGGAAAATAACAAAAAGCTAATATAAGCAGAATTCAAGCAGACCTTTTGCTGGTTCACATGTGCAGTCCAATCACACACTAAGGCTAATTTCAAATACTTCTTCAGTCAATTTTCACAGTACAAGCAATATTTAAATACTGGGTCTGCAATTTTAAAACCAGCTGGGAAACTTTTTGACCACATCATGATCAAATTGGACCACTGATAAATTTGTTGACCATAGTTATAAGTGTGGAAGCTAAGATAATATGGGTCATTAAATAGCATGCTTAAGTGGCATAAGTTGATCAACCTGCAGAGATCAGAAAAGAATTGTCCTCCGCCTGCCACTGACTTCAATGAGAATAGAATCTAAGTGCAGAAGTGTTTATGAAAAACAGTTATTGAAGAGAAAACATAATAATAATACTGTACTGATGATCTATCACATTGACACTATTTTTCCTATAGCAAGTGATTCATGGAGAATATAATACTTCAGTTGACAAGTATCAGGGCACCAGAGTGATAGTTGTTAAATGTCCCATTATTGACCTACTGCTTTTGACTAGTTTTGAGAACAGACCAGTTATGAGCGTCACTTAATCAGCTGCTAATTAATCTATAAAATAAGTTATCAAGAAGTACAGTGATTACCTTGATAAAACAGACGGTAGAGTTAAGCAAGGGAGCAGAATTTTGTTTCAGATAAATTTTCAAAGTATTTGGGGGGAGGGGTATCTCTTGTTTTTTCCCTTATCTGAATGCCACTGCTTGAGTTTTGGATGTATCCTATTGATATGCTTTTAATGAACATGCTAATAGGCTCTATTAGTCATGCAAGCAGCAGCAGCTATCAGTTGCAGCACTGGGGCCTAATACAAGTTAATGAGCAAACACTTTATTTCAGAATTCTTAAATACTTATCCCAACTGGCAACTGCCAGACTGCCTCTGAATTTATTATGTGAAAATTCAGCTGTGCTTGGCTAGTTAGTCCCCTAATGATCTAAGAGCTGAGCTTGCCCAACTAAAACTCACTGTGAAGTGAATGGCAATTGTAGTTGTACATGAGTTACAGGTACAAGACCCAGGTTAGCTAGTAACAATTCCAAAATCTTTGGGGAACTCAAAATTCTCCTGAATTCTAAAGCTGTTTTCCATCTTTAAGAGCTTAATCCTATTGAATCTTCCCCTTATAGGTTATATCAGGATGCCTATGAGAATTCCTTTATTCTCCTACTTGGTTATTACGAATCAGTCAACATCAAATATTCCCCAATTTAGGAAACACTGCTGCTTTCATTATCAACGCTGCCTCTTCTCACTTCTGGCCCTCTTTTTTTCTCAGCAAGCTACTGTTCCAGCATGTCAGAGAACAAGAAGAGCCTGAATCAATGATTGAACAGCGTCATCAATGTCAGGTTCAGAGTGGTTAGAGGCAGCTTATTCCTTCACTCTTTCATCCCCGAGAGTCTGCAGCTGTGATGTAAACAGCCGTTTTCCTACTGAACTTGGCTGTTTGTGCTGAGCTTCTCTTTGTAGTTTCCTTGCTCCTTTTCTTCATGTCTCTGCTACTCTCTCCTCCCTACAGCACTGTTCCCATCTTTGCCACTCTCCCGCCCTTATCTTGTCTTCTATACTCTACTCCTCATCTCTTTCTCTCCTTTGTCTCATCCTCCCAGCTGTGCCCTACTCTTCACATCATTGCCTTTCTCTGTTTGACTTCTCGGACTTTTAGAGGTGCATCAGGGCTGACCATGAAGTTTCCCTCTCTTCCA